CGCGACCCAAAGAGCAAATGGTTTCTTTCGAAAGAACAATATGAAAAAAGTACTTGCCACCGTTTTGTCATGGAGCTTTTCACGTGCTTTCTACCGATATTCTACCAAAAATTTTTAATTATACAAAATTCGGTCGAAAGCCTTTTAATTTCACACTGATGATGCTTACTTGGGTGTCGTGCCAATGAATTAGGAATTGAAGCTACAAAGATGCCTGGTTTTAACCTACGATTTCACATCAAACCAAGATCAGCTTGTGATCTTATAACTTCTACAACAATGGGACACAAGATAGATGCTTCTACGATGATAAAATACCATAATTTTTATACTAAAGAAATGAAATCACCAAGGTATAAATGGCTTCGATGCTTAGCATCCAGTCCAGAACTCTTTTCTGTTGCTGCTTTCGTGATTTTCAGTTTATTTATGGAAAGGCTTTTTAGGGCTATCTTACTAAGTTGAATCTGCAAAGTATCGACTAAAACTGATTACAATGAAATACACAAAGGAAACCAAACAAAGAGATAAAAATAGAACAAGRCAAATGAAAGCAAAACAGAGCGTACGTTTGTACGTACTTTATTTCGACTTCACAAGCTTTACTTTCTCTGTATCTTTTTTAAAATTGTGTCTCCTATTCATAATCGACAATGCTAGACGTTTTTCTTTAATTTAATTAAAACCAAATTATAATTTTATGATTAACAGCTTCCTCAAAAGCCTGCGTTCCATCCCGGCGGCCTTTTCGTAGATATGGTGCAGGCTAGTTTTCAGCTGTTCTTCGAACAATCACACAGGGTTATCCCATCATGCATTGCGAGTGAGATATGAAATTTTCTTATTCAAACAGCTAAAATTAATATTTTCAAAATTAAGAAAATCAATTGTACTTAATAAGAGTGTATGTCATACCTTTTAGCATTATCTATTTTCTAAATTCTTCAAGAAATTTAGAGATACTCATCAAAATACTGGAGTTCTTTGGAATACTTTCAGGTTCAGTGCAGATCCTACAACTGGCTACTTTTACTTGCCAAATCAGTGAAAATATATTCATCAAATGCGAAGGTAATACCTTAGTGTTTGTATCAAAAACCAAACATTGAACAAAACTGAATAAACACGCAAAGGCACTTGGGAAAGCTCTTGATACTCCTCAGCACCTGGAGCTAAGAGGGTACCACAGGCAGCCCAATTTGGATAAAATAGAAAAGTACTCAACGGATTGGCCTTTAACTCAGCCCAGTCCCAAAGTGGATCAATAGTTTTTACAATTTTAAAATATAGTTTACATACTTCATACTTTTACTGTAATTCGATCGACACTGGAGCTTGGGATACCTGTGCCATAGAAAACTTTGTCAAAGAAATTTTCAAGGACAAAACTAGCCTCTGGGGTACGGTTGGTAGGTAGTGTACATGTACAAGTGGGAGAGTAATAAGGTCAAAAACAAAGACTCGCCAAAATCGCCCTGAGCGTTTCTCTTGGTCAACATCTTGGTCTCTGGATACGAGATTGAAAGACTCGCGTGAAGAAAACAATGTAGTGGATTTTAATTGGATTTTTTGATTTTATGTTCTTCATCATGGGAGAAATTATATTGATCTCGGACAAGAGAATATTAAGTAAGAGAGCACATCTCCCATACATGGGTCTGTAACCATTGAAAGTTTCTTGAAAATCTATTTTTAGCTCCGCGCGCAAGGCTGAGCTATTTTTAGCATGCGATTCCTGATTGCTCAGAGTTGTAGTGACTTTAATGCGAGCGTTCTTCATAGACGGATTAAACATTAATTTTCAACAATTGATGAAAAAGAACATCGAAAAAGATCAAACATAAGGATGATTTTCAGTATACGAACAAGCTGAAAACAGCGAAGACGTCATGGGGAAGAAAACTGCGATAAAAAATGCGATGAAAATAGCGAATA